CTTGAGTAAGAAAGGGGCAGATGCGGGCTATGTTTTTAAGATGGAATCTACAGGATTTGGCAACATGCTGGATGTGAGGCTCAAAGGTGAGGTCAGAATCAAGTATGACGCCTAGACAGCGTGTTTGCAAGGATGGACTGAGGTGGTTACCACAGACTTTAAGGGAGAGCGAAAGAGGAGGATCAGTATTCGGAGCAGGAAATACAAGGAGCTCAGTTTTAGAGAGATTGAGTTTCAGAAAGCAGGAGGACATCCAGTCAGAGATGGAAGAAAGGCAAGCAGTGACACGTTGCAGGACAGTGGGTGAGAGGTCTGGGGTGATATAACTGGGTGTCATCAGCGTACAGGTGGTAGTGGAATCCAAAAGAGATAATAAGTTTGCCAAGAGAGGCAGTATTAAGAGAAAATAGAAGGGGACCAAGGACAGAGCCATGGGGGACTCCAACCAAGACAGGACGAGGGGAGGAGGTATCATTAGAAAAGGAGACACTGAATGAGCATTGGGAGAGATAAGAGGAAAACCACGAGAGGACAGAGTCACAGAGATCAAGTGACTGAAGAGTTTGAAGAAGGAGAGCATGATCAACGGTGTCAAAGGCCGCAGAGAGGTCAAGGAGAATTAATATGAAGTAGTGGCCTTTGGATTTAGCTGCGATTAGGTCGTTAGTAACTTTGATAAGCACAGTCTCAGTAGAGTGGAGAGGGCAGAATCCAGATTAAAGAGGGTCAAGGAGAGAATTGGAATTAAAGGAAAGGAGACACACGGGTAAAGACAAGTTTTTCCAAAAGCTTTGAGGAAAAAGGGAGCAGGGATATGGGACGATAGTTAGAGGGGGTGGACGGGTCGAGGGATGGTTTTTTTTAGTACAGGTACTACAGTGGCATGATTAAGGTCAGCAGGGACAATGTCAGAAGAGAGAGAGCAGTTGAAGATGTGTGTTAAGGAAGGCATGAGACAAGTGAGAGAGATCTAATAAGGTGAGATGAAACAGGATCGAGTGGGCAAGTGGTGGGGCGAGAGGAAAAAAGAAGAGCAGCCACCTCTTGGTCAGTAGCCGGGGAGAATGTCTGAAGGGTAGTTGAGAAACAGAATGGCAAGGAGGGGAGAATTCTTTCCTTAGCTGGTCAATCTTGTCAGTAAAATAACATGCAAAGTTATCAGCAGTAAGGTTAGTTTGAGGTGTGGCCACAGCAGGACGAAGAAGAGAATTAAAGGTATCAAAGAGACACCTGGGATTGCAGGAGCATGAACTAATGAGAGAGGAAAAGTGGGACTGCTTGGCAAGGGCAAGGGCTGCGCTGTATGAACACAATATGAATCTATAATGGAGAAAGTCTGACTTGGTGCGAGACTTCCTCCAGGGATGTATGGGAGGCACAATGGGAGTATCTTTGCAGGTGGTGTGTTGATTTAGTATGTCATGGGTGTGGACAGGACCTCCTCAAGGTGCTTGTTTGGAGCGGTGCTGCAGTGTTCAAGGCAGAGGTGAGGGTAGTGTTATATGCGGAGATGGCCAGTGAAGAACAGGAGAGGGAAGGGATGGACAGCAGTTGTGAATCAATATCAGCTGACAGCTGCTGGAAATTAAGAGAATTAAGGTCCCTCCTGAGTTGAGTGGGGTTAGGCTGAGGTTGTTGGGTGAGGGGGTACACGAGAGCAAATGATAAGAGGTGGTGATCAGAGAGAGGAAATGGAGTGTTGCAGATATTAGATACTGTATATGCATAAGAAAAGATTAGGTCAAGGGTATTGCCAGCTAAATGGGCGGGAGAATTAGCCCACTGTAAAAGCTCGAGGGAAGAAGTTATTGAAAAAAGTTTAGAGGCTGCAGAGGTCAAAGGTGGGTTGAAGTCCCCGAGAATTAGGGATGGAATATTAGAAGAGAGGAAATAGGGTAGCCAGGCAGCAAAGTGGTCAAGGAAGAGAAGAGGGGAACCAGGGGGACGATAAATAACAGCAATGTTAGCAGAGAAGGGTTTAAAAAGGCAAATGTAATGTATTTCAAATGATGGGAAAGAGATGTAAGAGGGGGGGTGGGTTGAGGTTTAAAGGAACAGTGAGGGGAGAGGAGAAACCCTACACCACCACCTTTACATTCAGAGTTTCTTGGGTTTGTGGATAAGTTGAAGACCACCAAAGGACAAAGATGCAGGGGTAGCAGTGTCAGAGGGGGAGAGCCAGGTTTCTGTTAAGGCTAGTAAATCTATTGAATGAGAGATGAAGAAGTCATGGACAGCAGTGGATTTAGTAATATTGCAAACAGAGTGTGCATTCCAGAGGACAGTATTGAAGGAGGATTTAGAGGAACATGAGATGGGTATGAGATTTGTGTGGATCGTTGGGTTAGTATGTGGTGAGTTTGCTGAGATGGGACCGGGGTTTTAAAATAAAAGAACTAACTACCTGTAAAAAAAATAAAACTTACCATTGGATGTCTTCTTTTTTCTAAAATCTTTATATTTCAGCCCCAAAAAAGGCCAAATAAAAACCAGGGGTAGGTAAGGGATTGTTTTTTAATTGGGTGGGAGGGTGCCTGGGTGGTTGGGGACCCCTAGTCACCTTGGAAGGGGGGGAGGCATTTTCATTTAGGGCCTATTGGGTGGGGGCCTATTGTCCTCCCCCTTGGGCCCCACCCACTTCTCAGGAGTGGGGGCCAGGGGAGACGACAATAGGTCCCCCCCTCATTGTTATTTATGGCCCCCAACAGGCTGCTCACTGTTTAGCATTCAGGAGATTTTTATCTTGTTATGCTATTATGGGGGTCATATTGACCCCCACAGAGTGAGGGGGGATATGGGGGGCTTAGGAAGTGACAAGGACTGCTCCCTGCTGCTTCTATCTTTACATATTACAAGGAGGAAGCTGCGCGCCGGTAGCTCCCTCCTTGTAATAAACTGAACGAACAAATGAACACTGATGTTCAGTGTTTGTTTGTTCGGCTGACATTTCTAATCACTCATTCGTCTTTCTGACGAATGAATGGATGAATTTCCGGTTCGCATGCCCAAGTGTTTAACAGGGCATGTGCGGGAATCTCACAGCGCTATCTAGTGTGGGCAGATGACGTGTCCCTCATCTACCCACACAAAGATGACGGCGCCCTGAACATAGGTCCGGACACAAAATAAAGTTTAAAAAATAGGTAATATGGGGAGCTTAGGGACATTTAGGGGTTACTAGGAGGTCAGTTAGATGTAGTGGAGTTGGGAGGGGGGTAAAAAAAAATGGGATTCGGCCATGACAGTGCCGCTTTAATTGCAGCTGAAACTCCACTATCGCCTGCTGCTGCTCACACAGTCTCTCCAGCATGTGCAATGTGGAGTTCCACCTTGTGGGCACGTCGTATATGAGGCGGTGAGCGGGAAGGCCGAAGTAATGCTGCAGCGCAGACAGGCGAGCAGCAGCAGGGTGAGAACACTGAAAGCGCGCACAGATGGCACGCACTTTCTGCAGCAGCTCTGATATATATCGGTATTTTTTCAGGAATTTCTGCACCACCAAATTCAGCACCTGCGCCAGGCAAGAGATGTCCGTAAAACCGGCTAGGCCCAAAGCTTCTACGAGATTTCGTCCATTATTGCACACCACCAGGCCGGGCTTGAGGCTTAGTTGCAACACTCATTGGTCTGTTGTTCCATGCCCATCCACAGCTCCTGCGCGGTGTGGGGTTTTTCCCCCAAACATATGAGTTTTAAAACAGCCTTCTGTCGTTTCCCCCTGGTTGTGCTGAAGTTGGTGGTGAAGGTGTTACGCTAACCGGATGAGGAGGTGGTAGAGGAGGAGGAAGCGGAGTAGGAGGAGGAGGAAACAGGAGGCAAAGCTATGTACCCAAATAAAGATTGTCATCCGGTTACTGGGGAAATAGGTCTGACCTATTCTAATCAAAGGGGATAACCATCGGTTACCCAGGTCCCTCTTCAATTGGTTGCAAGCAGCGGGATCCCATGTCCCTGTCAACAGACCCATGAACTACAGTGCTCTAAAGCAACCAACACTGCAGGAGTTGTGTGGAGCCAGAGGAATAACGCTTGGTGGGCGTAACAAGGTCAAATTGACTGCCGCGCTCATGGAGGACAACCAAGCACACAGTGAGGCAACGAGCCCCAGCCAGGGGCTGGAGATGAGCAGCAAGTGCGCAAGGTAGTGGAACGGTGCCTTACATATTACCGAGAGCCACAATCAGAGGAGATTGTCAGCAGGACCTTTTTGGAGGTGCAAGCCCTTGCCAATAGACAGAGGGCGACCTCCGTGAACCCAGATGAAGGAAGAAGGGAGCAGAGGGTGCCAGGACAACCACCCTGGCCCACAAACTACCATACAATGCCTTCAAAGAGTTCAAGGAAGCAGAAGAACGTATTGATTACTTTTTACAAGACTTTGAGAGCCAGTGCCTACTCCAAGACGTGGACCCCAGCGACTGGGTCACCATCCTGGCCAGCAAACTAGTGGGGAAGGCAGCGGATATTTACCAGGCTGTACCAGAAGACCAGATCAGAGACTATCCCTTTATTACACAAATCATCCTGGCCTGGTATGCGGTCACCCCCGAGCAATACCGACGAAATTTTAGGGAGATTCAGAAATGGGAGAAGGACTCCCATGCAGAGTGGGCATGCCACATCACAAGGGCAACCCAGAACTGGCTCAACTCCCATCAAGCCAAATTCCCGGAGGAGATCACCCAGCTCGTCATGCTAGAGCACTTTTTCAATGGGCTCCCCAACAACACGACTGGTGAGAAACTGCCAGCCCCAGACCCAAGAAGTATTGGTAAGAGCTGCTGAAGCTAGCTCACTATATCCCCTTGGCAGGGCATTTGGGCAGGAGCCGGACAGCGTCTCGGCTCACCCACAGCTTCTTCTGGCCAGGCATCTCTCAGGATCTGAGGCAGTACTGCCAGATGTCTGCCAGACAGTGGGGATGAGAAGGGACCGGCACAGAGCCCCCCTTCCTACCCTACCTATTAGTGAAGATCCGTTAGGCAGAGTAGCTTTCGACATTATAGTTGCCCAGGCACTTTGGTGACTCTAGAGAACCTCGGGCCAATCGCATTCGGATGTCTGCCCTATCAACTTTCACTGTCACTATCTGTGCCTACCATGGTGACCATGGGTAATGTGAAATCAGGGTTCGTTTCCGGAAAGGGAGCCTGAGAAATGGCTACCACATCCAAGGAAGGCAGCAGGAGCGCAAATTACCCACTCCCAACGCGGGGAGGTAGTGACGACAAATAACAATACAGGACTCTTTAGAGGCCCTGTAATTGTTATGAGTCCACTTGAAATCCTTTAACTATAATCAATTGGAGGGCAAGTCTAGTGCAGAGCGACTGACCCATGTGTGCTGCAGCTGAAACTCCACTATCGCCTGCTGTTGCTCGCACAGTCTCTCCAGCATGTGCAAGGTGGAGTTCCACCTTGTAGGCAGGTCGCATATGAGGCGGTGAGCAGGAAGGCCAAAGTTACGCTGCAGCGCAGACAGGCGAGCAGCAGCAGGGTGAACGCCGAAAGCGTGCACAGCTTCTACAGTGAATGTCACATCCTGTTCCAAGTTGTGGATCAGTCTGGTGATCCTGTACTCTTTTTACTGAAGCTGCATCAGGGTCCTGGTATGTGGCCGCACAAACGCTGGTGCTCAACACCAGGGAGTGTGCGGTTACCCTGCACCAACCCTGCTAATCCATTCCACACTGTGACTCCTAATTTCAACATCAGACATACTGGGTCCCGGTCGTCCGACCACCTCGCAGACAGTGTCTGGGTCCTGGTCACTGGACTGTGAAACTGTGAATGGCTCATTAAATCTGTTATGGTTCCTTTTATCGCTCCATCTGTTACTTGGATAACTGTGGGAATTCTAAAGATAATGCATGCCTCCTCCTCCAAACTGCACATGTCACTCGCATGACCTTTATTCCATGTGGGGTCTAAGACCTCATCATCTTCCACCCACTCCTCAACCCTGCCCTCCTTGCCGTCCTGCACACTGCAGAAAGCCACAGCAGTTGGCACCTGTGTTTTTCCAGCATGTAAACTCTGCAAAGGACATATGAGAATTGTTTTAGAATTGTATCCAGGCAACAGTTTTCCCTATAAACTGACCTCTCAGTTTGACTTGTGAGGGTATTGCCCCCGAATTACAATATTGTTATATTGGTATTTGACGGTTCTATTAGACTGTCAGATATGAAGTGCAGGCCGCAAATGTACTATTTAGCACCCCAAAAGAATTTGAATTGGTCAAACTGCGCTGTAACCACAGTATTTGACTGTTCTATTTGACTCTCAGATATGAAGTGCACACCCCAAATTTACTTTTTATCACCCGAAACAATTAGAATTTGTCAGGACGCAAATGTACTATTTAGCATTAGCACCAAAAACAATTCAAATTTTTCAAAGTGCACTGAAAGCACAGTATTTGACGGTTCTATTTGACTGTCAGATATGAAGTGCACCGCAGGATGCAAATGTACTATTTAGCACCCAAAACAATTGGAATTTTTCAAAGTGCACTGTAAGCACAGTGTTTGACGGTTCTATTTAACTCTCAGATATGAAGTGCACCGCAGGACGCAAGTGTACTATGTAGCACCCAAAACTATTAGAATTTTTCAAAGTGCGCTATAAGCACAGTGTTTGAAGGTTCAATTTGACTCTCAGATATGAAGTGCACTGCAGGATGCAAATGTATTATTTAGCATTAGTACCCAAAACAATTTGAAGTTTTCAAAGTGCGTTGAAAGCACAGTATTTGACGGTTCTATTTGACTCTCAGATATGAAGTGCACCGCAGGACGCAAATGTACTATTTAGCATTAGCACCCAAAACAATTAGAATTTTTCAAAGTACGCTGAAAGCATGGTATTTGACGGTTCTATTTGACTCTCAAATATGAAGTGCACACCCCAGATTTACTTTTTATTACCCAAAACAATTTTAATTTTTCAAAGTGCGCTGAAAGCACAGTGTTTGACGGTCTATTTGACTCTCAGATATGAAGTGCCCTGCAGGATGCAAATGTACTATTTAGCATTAGTACTCAAAACTATTTGAAATTTTCAAAGTGTGATGAAAGCACAGTATGTGATGGTTCTATTTGACTCTCAGGATGCAAATGTACTATTTAGTATTAGCACCCAAAACAATTTGAATTTTTCAAAGTGCGCTGTAAGCAAAGTATTTGACGGTTCTATTTGACACTCAGATATGAAGTGCACACCCCAAATGTACTTTTTATCACCCAAAAATTTTTAATTTTTCAAAGTGCGCTGAAAGCACAGTATTTTACGGTTCTATTTGACTGTCAGATATGAAGTGCACCGCAGGACGCAAATGATCTATTTAGCACCCAAAACACTTGGAATTTTTCAATATGAAGTGCACCGCAGGACGCAAATGATCTATTTAGCACCCAAAACAATTGGAATTTTTCAAAGTGCGCTGGAGGTACAGTATTTCATGGTTCTATTTGACTCTCAGATATAAAGTGCACCACAGGACGCAAATGTACTATTTTAGCACCCAAAACTATTAGAATTTTTCAAAGTGTGCTGTAAGCAAAGTATTTGACGATTCTATTTGACTCTCAGATATGAAGTGCATACCGCAAATTTACTTTTTAGCACCAAATAATTTGAATTTTTCAAAGTGCAATGTAACCACAGTATTTGACGTTTCTATTTGACTCTCAGATATGAAGTGTACGCCACAAATTTACTTTTTAGCACCCAAAAAATTAGAATTTTTAAAAGTGCGATGAAACCACAGTATTTGACGGTTCTATTTGACTCTCAGATATGAAGTGCACCGCAGGACGCAAATGTACTATTTAGCACAAAAACGTGTGATTTTTTTAAACCAACAATGTAACAGTAGAATTTAAGGGTTTTATTAGACTGCAAGAAATACAGTACGCAAATGTACTATTTAGCACCCAAAAAATTGCAGTATTTAAAAATGCCTAGATGTTGCCCACTGAGCTACCAGAACAGGATTAAAGTCATGTGCCTGGCACACATGCAGTTGCAAGTGCACTGCACACTCTGTGGCACTGGGCTCAGGGCAGGGTACAAAAATGTAGTATTATAGCACCCACTAAAATAATCGCTGTAGTTTGAATAATCGCTGTAGTTTGCAGATTCAACACCAGAATTCTTTCCTAATCTGTCCCTAACAGCTGCAGCATCCTCTCCCAACACTAATAAGAGCTCATGTGACGTGCGTTGCTACGCGACTCCCTCTTATATATAGAGGCTGGGTCACATGCTGCACTGGCCAATCACAGCCATGCCCTTAGTAGGCATGGCTGTGATGGCTTCTAAGGACAAACAAGTCAAATGCTTGTTGATTGGCTGCCCTGCAGCCTTTCAAAACGCGCCACAGAAACTCCAACCCGAACATACACTGAAATGTCCGTGTTCGGGTTCGGGGTCCAAAAAACGTAATGTTCGGTATGAACCCGAACTTTGCGGTTCGGGTTTGCTCAACTCTAGTTATGAATGTTTGGTGTTAATTCTTTGTAATTTTATGTAGGTTTGTACTTAGTTATGTCATAGGAAATAATCGGACTTATTTTGGTACTCCATTTTGTTTTTGGAGGAAAAAAATGCTTAAAATACTGAATACCAATATCTGATGTAAGAAAATTAAAAATTATATATAGATCCACTGGTAATTTGCCAAGTCTAGCATATCAAGCTATTATCCAGAGATACTGACGTTTCTTTAGTATTTCAGGGTAAATTTATAAATAACTGAAGTAAAGTAATTTTAAGGCTTATGATTTCCTTATGGTTATTAGATGGTAATGAATAGTTAAGTTGATTATTTGTGTGAGATGGAACATTGTATATTTTCGAAAGTGTTTACACTGTGAGAGTCAGCAAGCTGTGAAAGAAACTGTGATCTTATCTTAACTAACTGCTAGTATCAGTTAATGGTTTTGTTCTATGTTCTGTTTGGTGGTCTGAGCTCTAAAAGACCCCTTATTTTTTTGTAATCTTTCTTATCTATGCTCATAATTTAACATTATGTTGCTGGAATATTATTATTATTACTAGTCTATTGATTATTCATGTGTGTTGAAAATCCATACTAGTACTTGCTAAGTATACTGACCCCTACTGGTGTATGATTACTATGCAGATTAACACTCCCATCACTGGAAACAAAATGATCTAGAAATTATCTTTGTTGTGGTTATTGTTGCCATAATTTTTGTCATACATGTACCTATTTTTATACCAAATATTCACTGATTAATGTCATGCGTGTTACATATTATTATTAATTATTTGTCACAATAATTTATATTTTTTGAATGGGTTGTGATTAATGTGTGAAATACAAATAATCTAACAAACATGTTCCAGAGTCTATTATTTTTTTTGATAATTTTTATAAACTATTATTTTAATATTTATTAATCCATACATTTCCTCACTGTAATAATAATAATAATATTAATAATAATAATAATAATAATATATTATCAATAAATCTAATACACAATGGTAGAAAGTGTTGCATTCAGTCATTATTTGTTAGCAAATGGCATGAAAGTAATGATAACATTTAGTATCTTTCTCTTCATGTACACAAGGGTCCATCCTGTCTCTCTGTACAATACTAGTCCCCTTTGTCCCAAAGCAAAATTACATCATACCTAGTTTAAAAAGGTATAAAATCCATGTTGCAGGTATTGGCACATTGTTGCAAAGCTGTTCTGTGTGCATGCAACCTGTGAGAATTAAAAATAAATAATAATAATACAGCCTTCATATGCAACTGAGAAATTAATCAATAATTAAAAGTGAAATATTCTTGATATTTTTAGGTGTAATGGACCCACTTAAATAAATGGTAAGTTCACCAACTTTCCACCAGGTATTTTTATTTGAAAATTACAGGTAAGAATTACTTTTGTCTACAAATGTCAGAATGAAAGTTTGTTTTATTATTTTGTTTTAATTATTCTTATTTCTATTTACTTTTATAGGTAGAGTTCAGAGTGGATAATTGTGATAATCACAGCACAGTAAAATTCGAAAACAGCAACAGTGATCCTGACAATTTTAAACTTAACAGCAACAATTTAAAAACACAAAAACTGCTGTACATAAACAATATATACTAAGGAATCATTTTAAAGCATCAGAAATAAATGTAACATTTCGCACAAAAAAATTTAAAAATTTGGAAAAAAATCTCAGATTCTGCAATTACAGTTTATCAAGTCACCACATCATTTAAGTGCTGCCTTTTAATCATCTGTTTCAAATAAATATTTTCCTAAATATAAATATATTTCTTACTTTAAAAAATACATTTTCAGTAAATTTTTGCCATTCAGATTTTATTTGCTGCAATTTAAAGCTTATAGAATAATTATATTTTAACACATTTTTGATTGTTTTATCCATCTCTTATACTCCGTTTATCTATCTCTTTTACTCTTTTATCCATCCTTGCTATTACATGGGGAAATTAAAAAAAAAATGGAATTTAGCAAATGTTGTTGCAGACCCAAATAACAATTTACACAGTTTTTTATTTTTTTTTTACTTTTTCTTTTTCTTTGTAGGGGTTTATCGAAATGAACCAAACAGTGGTAACAGAATTCATTATTTTGGGATTTCAGAACTCTCCAATTATTAACACTTTATTATTTGTTTTATTTATTTTTATCTATTTTTTTACTTTAGTTTTAAATTTTCTGATCATTTCACTGGTGGCAACTGTTCCGATTCTGAAATCTCCCATGTATTTCTTCCTTAGTCACTTATCCGCCTGCGATATTTTGGTCACTACCAATATAACGCCTAATATGCTCCATGATATTTTACATTTAGAAAGCACAATATCTCTTATTGGCTGCATCACACAGTTTCATTTTCACTGTCTAACGTCTGCCGCAGAGTGCCTTTTTCTCACGGTGATGTCCTACGACCGATATCTAGCTATATGCAAACCATTACATTACATGTCTATCATGGATAACAGGCTTTGTCTCCATTTGGCTATTTGGTCATGGATTTTTTCATGTACAGTTTCATTAATCTTTGCTTTTCAAATATATCGATTAGTGTTCTGTGGACCCCGCGTAATCGACCATTATTTCTGCGATTTTACCCCTCTTCTGCAATTGTCTTGTTCAAATTCTATCAATATAAAAATTACAGATATTGTATTATCATTACCACTTCTAATTCTTCCCTTGTCTTTCATCTTTTATTCATATATTTCTATTTTCATAACGATCTCCAGAATTTCCACCAGTAGTGGAAAACTGAAATCTTTCTCAACGTGCAGCTCTCACTTGATCGTAGTGTGCACATATTATGGGGTTCTTATAGCAATATACATGACTCCTATTAAATCTTCAAGCAATGTCAGTAAAGCTATATCGCTCTTATATACTATGGGAACCCCACTTTTTAATCCAATTATTTACTGTCTAAGGAACCAAGATATTAAGAACGCAGTGAAGAAATATCTCAAGTAGAACAATACTAAATTGAATTACATAATGCATTATTTTTTTTGTAAAGTGATCCTGACGACTTAGACTTCACCACAGGGTCTGGAAACCCTTTGATGCCATTGACTTATGAACCAACAAAGTTGTTTCTGCTTTCCCTTATCTCTTGTCAGTGCTGGGAATACTCAAAGAATAACACCACACAAATGTAGTATCACTAATCATTGAAAAGTGTATTGTGTGGTACATTATATAGGGAACAATTGTCTAGGGGTGTATACATCAATAGCATTATCAGCCAATGAAAATTAGTACAGGTACATACAATCAAAAATTACTGTAATATTTCTGTAGAAGAAGTGACATAGGTAAGTTGGCAGTTTAAAGCAGGAAACATGAGGTTGTGGTTAAAGGAGCACTATATGGTCAGGAACACAAACATGTATTCCTGACCTTATAGGGTTAAAACTACCATCTATCCACCCTGAGCCCATCATGCCTCCCTAAAATTGGAAAATCTTACTTGTATTCAAGTCTGCAGCTGCTTGCTTTTCCCTGTTTCCTTTAGACCTGTCCACTGCCTGCTGACATCATCAGAAGTGGTAGCCTGATCCAATAACAATGCTTCCTCATAGGATTGACAGAGACTGACAAAGAGGCAGATCAAGGGCCGAGCCAGCACAATTCAAACACAGCCCTGGCCAATCAGCATCTCCTCATAGAGATTAATTGAATCAATGGATCTCTATGAGGAAAGTTCAGTGTCTGCATGCAGAGGGAGGAGATACTGAATGTTTGGATGCATTTTAGGCAGCCATGACCCAGGAAGGATATCTAACAGCCATCTGAGGAGTGGTCAGTGAACTTATCACTAAGCTGTAATGTAATTTCTCTGAAAAGACAGTGTTTAGAGCAAAAAGCCTGAAGGCAATGATTCTACTCACCAGAACAAATTCAATAAGCTGTAGTTGTTCTGGTGACTATAGTGTCCATTTAGACTGTAAGTTAAAACTTGAGACGGGTCAAAATGACATGTCAAACAAAGTTAACATATTCTAATACTTGCATATCTTTATTCAGGCTTATTGACCTTGATGCTTTTAGTGATGTATTTTACAGACTATTTAACCATTTATCTGGTCACATAGAGACCTGTGTCTGTGCATTGATAACTGTATTAACATGCACTTTTGTATATTAATAAATTCTAGTTTTTATATGATTGTTCTAATAATTATTAATATTGTTATTATTTTGGTTTATGTTATGGCTTACAATTACAAACAGATAATAAGTTTAAATTGGAAAAAAATGAAGATGTTTCCTTTCTCTTGCCACTTTTTCTGCAGAGGTTCCCCAGAGGTCCATCCACGTTCTTTACATCATGTTTGCCTCAGTTTTACCATTCACATTTCATTTGGGAAAACTTGAAGTTTAGTGAATAACAATGTACAGGTCTAAGCAGGGTCCCAAATATTCTTATGTTCAATTATTTTGGGTCAGTAAAAGTATAATGTCATGACGGACAAGTAGATTGGGCTGCAACTTTTTTTCTGCTTAAGATCCCTGGAGGTCCATCCACATGCATTCCATCAGAAAACATTTATTTTTACTTTTGTAAAACATTGAATTTTTAAGAAACAATTTAACTATTTTACCATGTTTATCCTAATGGAGATTGGAGCATGTAGCATGTCAGATATGGTTGATAAAGAGGTAAGATACATTCTGCACAATTAATTTAGTAGGGTCACCTTTGAGCAGAACCAAATAAGCAATTCAGTTTCTCACTGAACAACACAGAAATGAGAGAATGTTTGATTCTGAAATCAGGAGCCCTCCTGTGATGAACTACACTTCGCCACTGACTTTTGGAGAGCCCTGCTTGCCAGACTCTTGCCCTGTGACTATGGACCCCGGGGTGTATTGCCATTGAAAAAGTCTATTTGGGCTTACTGGATTTTAAAACACTTTTTCTGCTCCTTGGGAAAATGTGCCTCTTCCCCTCCCCCTTTTTCCTGTGCTATTGTTTTTCCAGCAGGGCGTTGTCCCAGAGACACTGCCAGACCAGTTGAAACTGGCTGCTTTGTCCCTCCTCAATCTCTCATCAGCCTTTGCTATTGTTTAACCCCATGGCGGTCCAACTGTATTCGTGAGATCTGAGTGCTTTTCGGACATATTGAGCGCTCAGATCCAAGCTCTATGTGGATATGTTGGACATATAGGTTAAACATTGTATTGGATGAGTTGTTTATTTTTGTGTAGTTTTTGCAACAGTTTTTGGACTTACAGATATTTCCTGTACCTGGAGATAATTGGCTTACCACAGCCACTTAAGCCAATTATCTCCAGGATAGATGAGAAGATAGCCCGGCCGCACAGCCTAAATCTGTGGAACTATTTTGGGCATGTATGAAATGCTTACGGTCATTCAAATGTGACTTCCATAAAACTTTTGAACCCCTGCTCTGATCTGGGTGATTTTTGTATATGTTGTGCATTTGTGGGGATATGTTGTTATTTTGGGGTGTTTCTGGACTTTGGTTAAAAACTGTATATTTTCTGCCTGTGGTAATTAAGTTAGCCCATTGTGTTTGGTAATTGTATCACAGGCAGAGGGGAGGGTTTGTGTGCCTTAGCTGGGAGTGTCTGACTGTATTGTACTTTGTTGATTGGCTTTTGTAACTTTGTGTCCTCTGTTCCACAAGGTCCACGTTGGTGGTAACCTTGTGGGGAAATGTGTATATAAGAAAGACTTGTATGTTGATTAAACCAGTTCTACTTTACCCTCAACTCGCAGCCTTGATTCGTGTTTGGAGGGGACAGCTATAATCACTACAGGGATTGCTATGCTCTGCACACTCCCTTAGGAGTTAAGGTATAGCCAGGAACCCGGGAGCCCTCCATTGTAGATCGCCTTTCAGGCATGCATTCTAATTGCTGATTCCAGCAGGGAAGTTTTGTGATACAGTTGTACATTGGGGAGACCTACTCCACGATTGGAGGAGTGGCACTGCAGAAGTGCAAGATACATGCGTGGGAGTTAATTGATTGTATACTTTTGCTAAGGGGGGGAGGCAAGCACAGGGATGGCAGGTATATAGAAACTTTGGCAAAATTATTATTTTAGTCATGTTGACGCTACCCAGCCAGGAAAGTTTGACTTTTTTCCTATTCGAGATGGTGGCAGCACACATATGGCATAATGACTTGTAGTTTAGTTTAGGTGACACTAGATTTCCTCCAGTAAAACATGTATAATTGCATACATTTACTCACAGTCTGGGGTGACATGTCTATCAGCAAAGTCTTTGATTTTAGTATGTCATAGGAAATGTTTCCATAGTCTTTCAATAGCTGGAGGAGAGCCGGGATGGAGGCGTTCGGATTGCTCAGGGTTAACAATACATCGTCTGCGAACATCGACAGGCACTAAATTTAATTTCACAGGTGTATCCCTTGGATGTCAGGGTAGTGTCTTAATTTCTGAGCTAGTGGTTCTAAGCAGAATATGAACAATAAAGGGAAGAGGGGGCATCCTTGTCGTGAACCATTAGTGATAGGAAAGGGGAATCAGAATTTGCTGTGCACTTGCTCCATGTATTGCCAATTGAGGCTTTCAAAGGCCTTCTCCACATCTAGTGCTAGGAGAAGACCTTCGGTTTTTGATGTCTGCATGTGGGAGATAATGTTTAGTACCTTGCATGTGTTATCTGAGCCTTGACACCTCTGACAAAGTCTAATTGATCTGTATGGATTATGCATGGGGCAATCCCAGCCAGCCTATTGACTAGAATCTTGTCATAAAGTTTTACATCCACATTCACTAGTGACATAGAGCAAAAATTTGGGCAACTAGTGGGTGATTTGCCTGGTTTAGGTAAGGTTGAAATGTGTGCTAATAGCATGTTACTTGGGAGCTCACCTTTAGAGTAGCATTTGTTAAAACGTTCAGTCATTTGCGGGGCAAGGATGCCGCGAAAAGTGCGATAATAAATATTAGAGTAGCCATCTGGTCCTGGGGCTTTATGGTCTGGAAGACTTTTTATGGCTTCTGAGATTTCCAGAACATTACAAAATGTTGTATATACTCTATTGTTGGGGAGGTAGTGAGAAGACCATCTTTTAAATTGTATAGGTTGCTGTAATATGTAGTGAATACATTGACCATATCTAGGGAATTGAGAAGTTTATCTTTAGTGGGAGGAGTTAATGTGGGCAATTTTGGATTGAGATGCGTGCACTTTCAGCTGGGAGGCCAATAAGGCACCTGCTTTATTGTTGTAAGCAAAAAAATAATGTTTGCATTTCCAAAGCATGTATGTAGTTTTGGCAAGTTTTATTTCCTGCAGTTTGTTCTGTATTAGTCATAATTTAATTTGTGTACTTGGCGAGGTGTCTTGTTTGTTTTTATGTGTCAAGTCAGTGAGTTCATTGATCATCTCTGTGTATAGTTTAGTCCTTTGCTTTTTTGCAAAAGTAGCCACTTTTATAAAGCTCCCTCTAATTACAGTCATATGGTCTTGCCATATATTTTCAACACTAGTGTCTTGCGTGGATCTTTCCGTATCATCTCTACAATGAAGTTATCATGCAAGAGAGTGTCATTGAGTCTCCATGTACCTGTACCCTGAGTGGGGAATTGTTCCTTTAAGGAGAGGATAATCGCATGGTCTGACCATCTTATCATGCCAATAGTGGTATTTATGACTTATGCCATTAGTGGGAGAAGGAGTAGGAATCTATTGATCCTGGTGTAGGAATTGTGAGCTAAAGACTGAAAGGAGAAACCTTTTTCGATCTGGTGTAATGCTCTCCATGCACCCAAATAATTGTGTTATTATTATTATTGTATTTATATTGCGCCATCAAATTCTGCAGCGCTTTACAATGGGTGGACGAACAGACATGTAGTTGTAACCAGACAAGTTGGACACACAGGAACAGGGAATTTGAGGGCTCTGCTCAATGAGCTTACATGCTAGAGGGAGTGGGGTAAAATGACACAAAAGGTAAGGATAGTATTAGACTAGTGACAGTTGCAGAAGAGGAATCTGTCAGGAGCTATTAACAGTTTAATTAATACGCTTTTATGAAGAAGTGAGTTTTTAACGATTTTTTGAAGCAGTGGAGACAGGGTGAGCATCTAATGGAGGAGGGAAGCGAGTTCCACAGGAATGGTGCAGCCCTCGAGAAATCTTGAAGGCGAGCATCAGAGGTGGGAGTATGGACAGAAGATAGACGTAAGTCTTCAGCAGATAGTAAGGGCCTAGACAAGACATACTTGTGTGTAAGGGAGGATAGATAGGTGGGACCAGCATTATGTAGAGATTTGAAAGCAAGAACCAGAATTTTAAATTGAGCTCTATATTTTATAGGAAGCCAATGTAGGGACTGACAGAAGGGTGATGCATGGGAGGTGCAGGCGAA